AAAAGCAGATAATGAGCCGCGTTATAGCATTACCCGCTTTAGTGTCCATTATCAAAGTACCACCCAACTCAAGAATAACTATCGGGAAAACCACCCTTTACCCAATTGGAAATGAGGTATGGGAGGGAGAGGTTGAGAGTGTTGATGCCTTTCAACATCAAGAAATACCCATGAATCCAGACCTGAAATTCTTATTGGAACACAAGCCCAATCACACCATCCAGATGACGATTAAGAAAGACAACCTGTCAGTTGAGAACTTTGATTTTTCTGAAGAAGACCATATCCTGTTGGATAGTCGATCCCACTCTATCCCAACGGACATCATTGTTTTCAGCTTTATTGGACTGGCAATAATATGGTTGACCATCCTAACCATACGAGTTGTGAAAATCTCACAAAGACTTAACCAACAAATACCTACCGTGCTAAGACTTGTCACCGGAGAAGACAAACGGTCATCCTAATCAAAAGTCCCACTCACAGTTTGCAATACAGACACCCATCTATACGTGCCTGTACCTCAAAAAAGGGGGATCTGTAGTGACTTTTGGGGGACTATTTATCAAAAATATGATTTCATTCCAACAGCAACAAGCCCAGCCGTCTGTTAAGGGTTAACCTTTCTTGGTTAGAATTCAAATGACCTTCTAGTGAAATTACACCCACAATGAGTGGAAGGAACCTGTTCCAGAGACAATAGGTTATTTGAATTTCTAAAGGTAGTTAAACATGGCCCAAAGACAGACAATGGTGAGAGCTTATGTTGGTGACTCTAAGACTGGCAAAGTATGTTTTCTCAACAAATTGCCATTTGTCCATTGGAGTTGAGGAGATTTCACCTACAAAAAGCTAATTAGAAAGTCAAATACAACGTTGGACTTCCAAACAGTGAGTCACCACACCTGACCAAATTAACAAGAAGTGAGACGATACTTATAAGTCTGAGAAGATTAAACAAAACCTTGGAGAGAGTGATATAAGCCAACAGACTTCTCAAACGAAGGCTACAAGGATAACTGGTTGTTTACCCTATTATCTTAACAATGGACAAGTAAACAGAGGTTTCCTGTGTCATTCCTAAGACCAAAAGGTGAAACTTAGAACTTATATTTCTACCCACAAAGACATTAAAGAAGAGATACATTATTCACACTCTTTTTTTAAACAAAAATATATTCAGCAGAGTTGGGGATTGCGTACCACTAAATTAAGTATGAAATGTTGAAAAGTAAGATATTTTGTGAATTGGTATCAGTTGTATGTTTCCATCAGAAAGCAAATGTTTCTCACAAGTTTGAACCTCAGGAAATGAATAACTGAATACACATATATCTTCTATGGTTCCTATCCAGAACATTATAGGTAGAATCAAATATATTTGGATGAGACGTATATTTAATATCTAAAATCACCTTGGTTTCCACCCGAGGTATGAGTCATCATAAATACTCAAATTGTTTTGTGATCCCTGACTGCCCCCCAGTGGACAGGTGAGAGATATCTTAGGTACATACACTTCTCGACCGGCCAATCAAAAAGCCTGCTAGGAGGGTCTTTTAGAACAATGGTTTGGATGGTATAAAAAAAGCCATGCACCTCATTAAAAGGAAAACACAAGCTACAAAAGAAACAACACAGAAACAACACAGAAAAAAAAAACCAAGGAAACCGACAAGCTGAAGAAATCTGACGAGGCTGAAATCTATCCTATCTGAAGAACTACTACTTAATCCTTTAAAACGTTTAAAACGTCTACTAAACTTCTAAATCTCTGTACTTCTACCATCCTACATTTTTCAACACTACCACCTATTGCACTCTCTCTCACTTGCTCCCTGCGGCCATTCCTGAAGGCGTTTCAATTGCCAGCTGAATCCACTGGGGAGGCGTCATAATCCAGGTTCTGGGTGTGGTGAGACTGTTTAGAATTAATATTGCATTGTCTACCTCCTCTCTTGTATAGAGTGATAATAATTGCATTGGGGTGATAACTGCATTGGGTGTTCATATATAGATAGAGAGATCCATATTATTACTGCTAGGAATTGTTTGGTGTGATATTGGAAATTTACATTATGCATAATTAATTAATTTTTTACTGGTTAGAGTACAATTTATCAGGGAATATTTTCTCCCATTTCTATGGCCACGTTTTGGGAGAAATGACCTCTGAAGTTCTCTAAATTACCATTTATTACTAAATTTAATTTTAAATCCTTATTATCATTATTTAGAAAATTATTTGGTGGAGAGAATTGGTATAGTATATCTTTGATCGTGTGTGTACCAGTATCCATTTATTTACCAATCTTTTGCGTTTTGTGTTAATATATATATAATTTTTGTACATAAATAAATGTATCTATTTATTTATTATAAGGCAATTTTTGTGTGTATGGTACGAAAATCATACTGGCTAAAAGGACTCAGGTATATTAATAAGTGGTGATCAAATTATTAAGGTGTCCAAATTATTGGTTCATTAAATATTTGCCGTATTTTAACGGCTGGAGGCACTGTAATATTTTGTTTAAGGGAAAAGGACATCGCCCTTCATAAGTATAATAAATTCTTACATAAACCACCACAGGTCACTGTCAAGCTCTCTCTGTGGGGGGGGTCTGGTGTTGGTTGGTGTCAGGCTCTCTGAAACAGTTTTTGTGGGGGGGGGCATCTGATTTTTGTCTTGCCTAGGGCAGCACAAAACCTAAATACACCACTGTCATTCGCAGATAAGATTTTTAAAACAACATTTTGGTACCAGTACTGAGCTCATTAGAAAGGGGAAAGAGAAACACAAAAAAAGTAAATGCATGCGTTTAAAAGTGATCACATTTCTCATTGATGGCCATCAAGCAATGGTGTGTTCACACCCCTGAAAAAGAGTATTCCTTTTCCACATATAGACAGTTCATACACATCCAATAACATCACATAGACACACCCATTAATTGAAGTCATCCATTGAATCAAATACTTCATGGGTTGAGAATGTTTATGTAATTCCAAGTAGATTACTACGTGTTTCCTGCAAACAGGAGAAGAAAGGAAAGAAAAGAAATTCAGTTGAAACAGGAGTAAGCTTCTGTCCTAAGCAATACTTATACCCATATATATATATAATGACAATGTAGCGACCTGTCACAGCGTAGAAAGGATATTTCACCCGGGATTCTCAACAAGGCAGGTTGAGGGGCTCCAGGGTACTTGTTTAATGCAGAGGAAACTGGTTTTTCACTTTCCACATTTGTTTATGAAGTACATTTTGGGACCTGGAGCCTGGAGATTTCAAAGTGATTTGGGAGGGATGAAATCTCCAATCGTCGGACCAGGTTTTGGGAATATCCAGGAGACTGATTGGTCAGGTGTGTGTGAGCTTCTTCTAGAGTCAGGACCAGGGTTCTGGGCTCCACCCCGGCAGACAGGAGGTCAGTGCCCAGGAGTCAGGAGGGCTCCATCCAGGAAAGGTGGAAGCAAGAGCAGCAAGGGGCTGTATACCTGCGAGAGCCATGAGGCTGAATATTTGTTTCATTTGTATTGATGGTGGATACCCCAAACAGAGAGTCTCCCTCTCTATCTAGTGGCTATAGTTATAGTTCTCTCCTTCATTAACTTTCATGGAGTATCTCTGATTGGTTGGCAAATCTATTCCCTTTCATAACTGGCTAACTTCAAATCCCCTGTATTTAGCATACACCAACCCCCTGTAAGGCAAATCTTGGTGCACCCTTTATGGAATGTAAGCATGCGGGTTCATGACCTTTTCCTGGGAAATTAAGTATTCATGAAAGGCTGGCCACCTTCATTGCATATCTAAATGAGGGATCCTTTGAAGTGAAGCCAACAGGTTTGGTCCCATTGTTAGATAAACTAACTCTGGCACCCAACTGTCTGAAAGAGGATTCTCAGCAAAGACTTCTGTTATACAGTAAAGAAGGTGTAATTAATAGAATATTCCCTTTGACAACTATAGTATCTATAGAATAGGAATTTATGGGAAGACATATTGCACACCCGCACTGATACAGCTCTAACTGAAATATCTTCAGAATTACAATATTATTTACAGTGTTTAATGGAGATTTCACATAAACTCATTATCTAACACAAACATTAAATTGATGTTATGTAAGACATGGAGTGATTGCCTCAGAAATGTATATATTTCATTCTGAAGATTTATCCACCCAAAATGTATATATTTATTTGAGGGATATCTGAGTATTGTTTGTTTAGGTTCTGTGCATCTGATATTATTTATTATGTGGATATTCTGTTCTTCATATTGTTATTTTTTGTTTATTTTGTATTATGGAGAAAATAACAAAATGTTGGAACACACAAAAGCTAAGGAGGATCTAAGGCAGACCATACATGGAGCAAATTCCTTTCCTGCAACCATGGACAGTGTTGATGGGAAATCCCTCAGGAAGAACCATTGTCTTCTCCCAGCAGGGATTGGAGGAGCAGTCCCCCCCCCCCCAGGAGAAGACTGATTATTATACCAACCGCTAGAAATAATCGCATGTAAAATCCAAAAGGCTGGCTGTACCCAAGTTGGTCGATTGATCAACTTAGGTATATTCAGCCTGCCCATGCATGGTTTGAGTCTAGGCTGCTTCCTGCTGAACTGGCCAAGATTCGAACCGAGTGTGGCCAGCTTAACATTACCATTAGAGATGAGCGAATTATTCAAAAATTCGGTTCGGCTGATTCGCCGAATTCGCGGAATAAATTCGCTTCGATCCGAATATATTCGCTGCGAATTTAACTTATAAAAAGGGTGTTTCTAGGCTTCAGAGAGCCTTTATATTAGTGCAGAACACTGTACCTTTAATTTAAATGCCCTTGGAGTCTGCTGGGGAAGAGAAATAATACTGTCAGTCAGTATGACATGCAGATGAGTGCCGTCGATCTTAGAATCACCGCACACTTCACTCATTTGGGCAGTCACGGGGCCAAAACCAGAGTGTGGAGCCACAGTGTGGCGGTGGAGGCAGCAGCAATGGGAGGCCATACAGCACCCTATGACAAAATGGAACCCACCAGCAGTGTGAGGAGACCTGAAAGTGGCACATGGCAGAGTGTGGCGATGGAGACAGCAGCAATGGGAGGCCGTACAGGGACCCATGACACACTGTGGACCTGGCAGCAGCATGAGGAGGCGGTACAGGGGCCCATGACAGATTACGGGCCTGGCAGCAGCATGAGGAGTCGGTACGGGGGCCCATGGCAGATTACGGGCCTGGCAGCAGCATGAGGAGGCGGTACATGGCAGAGTGGCGGAGCGTAAGCAGCTAAAATTGAAGGCCATACAGAGGCCTATGTTAAAAAGTCCCCCCAGCAGCAGAGTGGGGAGACGACTATCAAGAGTCCAATGGCAGAGTGGCGGAGCGGAAGCAGCTTCAATTGAAGGCCATACACAGGCCTAGGTTAAAAAGTCCCCCCAGCAGCAGTGTGGGGAGACGACTATCAAGAGTCCAATGGCTGAGTGGCGATCCGGGAAGTCAGCGTTGTGATTGCAGATGCAATGCAGAAATTTTATGAGGTGACGCCGTGGGTGCAAAAGAAGATCATATACCGTCGTACTTCCATCCATAAGACGGAACAACCTGCGAACCGGGAGCTTTATTGCCCTGACCCGCTGAGCAGCTTCTGGGATACCCCAAGAGTTTGGCTTCTGTGGGCCATAATATGTTAAAAATTCCCCCCAAAACTTAAAGGCATGGCAGAGTGACGGAGCGGAGGGCACCAGTGGTTCAGTGCAGCTCCGGAGGGAACTATAACTTCAAAGCTGAGTGGCGATCACTTAAGATGCAATGGTAAATTTTATGACGAAGAAGATCATAGACCACAGGAAGTGGAGCTTGCGTTGCTTAAATCGACTGAATGTGGCAGAAACTTAAAGTGTTGAAACGTCTACGCTGGCACTTAAAGTATATGAGAACCACAGGAAGTGGAGCTTGCGTCTTAAATCGACTTGTGGCAGACGTGAATTGTCTACGGGCAGTATATGAAACGGGTTGTTCCTCTTTCTGTAATAAGTTTTGGAAATGGCCACTCTTTTTTGGTGTGGCGTTTTGTCTATTTAATTCCGATAACGGACTCTACTCCTCCGTGCAATCTAGTTACGAGACCCTGGGCAGGTCTGGGTCCAATTTGTGGTAGAGACTGGTTTTGTTCAGCCATGCTTGAGTGAGTAATAACAGGTCTGTGCTGCCCTTTGGTGTCTGGCTTAATGCGCACAACACTGAACGTCCCAGCATTTGTCAACGATTTGCCGTTAAGTGATGCAAACCCGCTGAACCACGTTCATGAGGAGCCGGTACAGGGGGCCATGAATCAGTATGGACCTGGCAGCAGTGTGAGGAGACCCGAAAGTGGCACATGGCGCAGGGTGGCGGTGGAGGCAGCAGTATTCGGAAGACATACACAGGACTAGTTTAAAAAGCGGAAGCCATCAGCAGCGTGAGCAGACGACAGAGGCACATGGCGCAGGGTGGCGGTGGAGGCAGCAGTATTCGGAAGCCATACACAGGCCTAGGTTAAAAAGCGGAAGCCGTCAGCAGCGTGAGCAGACGACAGAGGCACATGGCGCAGGGTGGCGGTGGAGGCAGCAGTATTCGGAAGCCATACACAGACCTAGGTTTAAAAACTGGAACCCAGCAGCGTGAGCAGACGACAAAGACGCACATGGCAGAGGATGGATCTGGCAGCAGTATGAGAAGGCGGTACAGGGGCCCGTGGCACAGTGTGGTGATGGGGGCTACAGCAACTGGATGCCAGAAAGTGGCCGATAGGGCTATATACTGCATGGAATTATAAAGTTGTAAAGACAGCGGCCTATAAGGCTATACACACTATAACAATCATGACTTGATTGACCATTGGCCTATAAGGCTATACACAGCATGAATATCATGACTTATTCTGAGAGTGGTTTGGAAGGCTATATACAAAAAGTAATTCATGAGCTGTCCGGACAGCGGACAATAAGTACATATATACAAATCAATTCATCAGCTGTCCAGCCAGCGGCCTCAAAGGCGACACATATAGAAAGCAATTCATGAGCTGTTCAGACATCGGCCTCTAAGGCGACAGATATACAAAGCAATTCCCGAGGTGTTCAGGGAGCGGCCTGAACGGCTAGGTTATTACTAAATATATTTTTGTGGCCAAACATCGGCCTATAAATAGATGTCTACACAGTGACAAAAAATTATGTCGCCAGACAGCGGCCCCTAAGGCGACAGATATACAAAGCAATTCCCGAAGTGTTCAGTGAGCGGCTTGAACGGCTAGGTTATTACTAAATATATCTTTCTGGCCAAGACTTTGCAGCAGAGACCGACATGCTCAAAGACTGGCCCACCATCTCTTCTACATGTGAATGCAGGGCTGGCACTGCCTTTTTGGCGAAGAAATGCCGGCTTGGCACTCTCCACCGCGGCTCGGCACAAGCCATCATTTCTCAGAAAGGTGCTGAGTCCACCACTTGGAAAGGGAGGGACTGCAGCACCAGCAACTTGGACAGGAGGACGTTCAGCTTCTGCACCGTCGGGTGCGTGCTCGCAAACTGTTGTCTCTTGGAAACGGATTCCAAAGAAAGACTGCTGACGGAATCCGTGAAGAGGAGTAGCAGGAGAAGGAGCATCTGAACGAGCGGAAGATGCCAACGAGCGACAACTCCCCTCAGCAGAGGTGTTGGAGCCTTGACTGGCTGATAGAGGGCGATTGACGTCGGGTGACGGAGCAAGTAACGGAGCGGGTGATGGAGCGGGGGCTGGGGCAGGCAGAACCGCCGTATCTTTATCACGGTTTTCCCAGGCCACCGAATGGCGACGCTGCATATGCTGACGCAACGCTGTAGTCCCAACATTGGCCCCCTGGCCACGCTTGACTTTCTGGCCACATAGTCGACATACGGCTACGTTTACTTCCTCGGGCGGCTTGACGAAAAATTGCCACACCGCCGAGTAGGAAACTTTGCCCCCGCTACTCCTCACTGGCTGACTGCTACTTCCTCCGTGCACACCGGCACCACTAATGGCCGTGGTGGTAGGCTGCAGTGGAGCTGGTGCTCTACTCCGTGGCCGTTTGGCTCCACTGACACTGCTGCGACCCTGCTGCCTCCTGGGCAACCCACCGACTGTTTTGCTCGCTGGCAAGCTGGCACCCTCTTCTCCTGATGATGCGGAAGCAATAGCCTGATGACGACGAGGCTGCCAAGTGCGATCAGCCTCATCATCATCAATTAGGGTCTCCGCGTCACTACTAGCCCCCTCGGCTGCGTGTGGGTCAGGAGACAGACCTGTCTCTAGACCGGCTACCGAGCCACTCTCCTCGCCAGTACTTCTTCGCCTGGCTGCTGATGAGGCGGATGTCTCCCCCCGTTCCTGACCGCCCTCTGTTAGCTCTTCCTCACTGTACAGTGGGGCTGAGCCCACAGCATGCGATACTTCGCTTGGTGAGGGAACACCAAAGGACAGGGGCAGGTAGAGGACACGTAATTTCAGTGGGCTTGCTCCCGGGCCATGCCAACTAACGGTTGTGTCTGACGTACCCACCGACCGTTGGCTGTAGGTGTCAGAGGTGACCTGGGAAGAGGAAGACGACCGAGTCAACCAATTGATGACGGCGGGGTTGTCGGTGGAGACACGACCGCTGGATGACACCGGGAGCACTGGCCTCTGGCTGCGACTAGTGCTGCCTCGACCCCTTCCTCTGCTGCCACGTCTGCTCGCTCCTGAAACATTGCCTCCTCTGCCACTCCTCTGCGTGTTGTCTGACATACTCTTTAATTCAATAAGCACCCCAAAAATAAAACCGGATTTAACTCTTTGAACGTACAATAGTGGTTGTGAAGCAGAAAGTCAGTTTATTTAGCACAATTGGTCAATTGCAGCTTGCCTTTGGCTGGAAACTGTACGTTTATGTCACTGGAATGCACTAATCACCCAAAAAATATTACCGCCACCCGGCGTGTAAATGGATCTAACTCTTTGAACGTACAATAGTGGTTGTGAAGCAGAAAGTCAGTTTATTGTACACAATCGGTCAATTGCAGCTTGCCGTTGGCTGGAAACTGTACGTTTCTGTCACTGGAATGCACTAATCACCCAAAAAATATTACCGCCAGCCAGCGTGTAAATGGATTTAACTCTTTGAACGTACAATAGTGGTTGTGAAGCAGAAAGTCAGTTTATTTAGCACAATCGGTCAATTGCAGCTTGCCGTTGGCTGGAAACTGTACATTTATGTCACTGGAATGCACTAATCACCCAAAAAATATTACCGCCAGCCGGCGTGTAAATGGATTTAACTCTTTGAACGTACAATAGTGGTTGTGAAGCAGAAAGTCAGTTTATTTTGCACAATCGGCAAACTGCAGCACCAACTGTGCACGACAGCCACCAAAAAAAAAAAGGGTATGTCACTTTAAATTTTCGATTCTTTGATAGCTGTGGCCCTAAGTAACGATTCTGTGTCCCTGAGTAACGATTCTGTGTCCCTGAGTAACGATTCTGTGGCCCTAAAGTCTCTGTGGCCCTAACTCTGTCCCTTAATACACACAGGTCTGTCTCTCTTGAATGACCGGAGGCTAATGGAGAATTCTAAGATGGCCGCGATTTATAGCTCCACCATTACACAGTGCTGGCTGGCTGCTGATTGGCTAATGCGATCACATGTCATGAATGCATTATGGGTCAGCGCGCCTTGTCTGCGCGCCTTCCCAGACATCCCCGCCCCATCTTCTCTGTCCATTTTCTCCATCGCCACACATGTCGCCGCCATTTTTGGGAAAATTCGATTCGTGCATCCGAAGTTTGCTAATCTTTGAATTCGTCGCAAATAGAATTTTTCCAAATCTTCGGAACGAATTCCACTTCGTCATGTTCGATTCGCTCATCTTTAGTTATCACCTTCAGCCAGTTTCTCTGGTTTGAAAATACCCTCTGTCTCCATCCATTGTCATAAGCCTGAAAGCAATGCCCCACCTTCTGCTGATAGCCATTGTATGTGTGTGACCCTTCCTGTTTCCATTATTACCATCACAACTCACAACTGTATGCTTTTATTGGAATCTGTGTCCAGTTATACAAACCCTGGTGGGCTAAAGCCTTGGCTGGTGCCAAACATTTGTGCGCTGAATTCCGTCCTTTGCTACTGGGTGTAGCTACTGTATGAGCCATGCCTTTAGCAGGCTAAGGAAGAGGTCATACCTTTATCAGGCTAGGGAAGAGTTCCCAGAGCAGAGTAGGCAGTGTCATAAAAGAAGACAAAAATTTTTAAAGTGGAGCTCCACCCAAAAGGGACTGCTCCCCATTAAGGATTGGCACCTTTGGGTGGCGGGGGGGAGCGGGTACCTGAATTTGACAGGTACCCGATCCCACTTCCGGTCCAATCGCCTAGGCCAGGGGTAGGCAACCTGCGGCTCTCTATTCTGTTGTGGAACTACATTTCCCATGAGGCATTGCAAAGATTAAAAAACTGACAGTTACAGCTATGACTTGCAGAGGCATGATGGAACTTGTAGTCCTGCGGCTCTCAGGTTGCCTAGGTGATCAGAAGC